GACTTGTGTTACGCATGTCACCAGATAGGCTTAACATTGGTTTCGGAGTTAACGAAAACCTATGGTTAGAGATACTGGATGATATGGCTGGGTGTCGTAAACCGCGGCGTTCATGTGTTTTCTCAATTTCTCCGTATCATTAATCCACTTAACTTTTGAATTTTCTGTTCGATCCTACTTTCAGCCTTTTTTTGTCTTTCTCTTATGTTCATCCAAATGGGCAGCCGAAAGATAGCATCCAAAATCGGCGCACTATAATGCGTGGTTAATGGTTGTGCAAACTGAAATTGAATGAAATTGTCAATAAAGGATTTATCAAAAACTATACCACTGGAATAGGATCAGTGCAATATTGCGATCAGTTCTTTCATGTGAGTGGAGTATAGTCTCTCCCGTTTGCCCTGTAACACCAACACATCTATATTGCGTCATTTTGGTCAGCGTTCCACAATCTGCCGTGTTAGTGTTCAAAGGTTGCTTCTAGTTAAGCATGGTTATCAATGTCCTTGGTATACGTACCTTTGTTATCCATCCACAGACTTCATCACTTTGTTTGAGTGCATGACTCCAAAGGGTCTTTTTACGAAAATTTAACCATCCCTTGCTGTACATGACGTGTGCTCTTCGACCCTGTTGTGCTAAGCCGCTGCTCTCATACCGTTGTGGTATGATTGGCAAAAGGATGCGTTCAATTGTGATTGTGTGAGCCATTGCGGCTTGTTTATTGTTTTTTTGCCTACTCACACAAACCAGCGGTGCGAAACGCACACTAGACCATAAGCAATGCTTTACTGCTCTGTTGTTTGTGCAGCACGACTTAGCCTGCTAATAGTAATGTAAATTATCTTCAACAATTAATTTAATCGTATTCTTGTCATTGGATATCACTCCACCGCACTGGTTCATTCAATCAATGTGGCCGTAAATGATTCGGAATTTGATGCTGGTACAAAAGTTACCTGCTTCATCTTTCTATATTCAATAATCTGTGTTCATCGATCTGTTAGCTATAGCGTTTCCTTTAAAAAATAGGTAACTCTAGCTCCCTTTTTACTGTTGTGATCGTTCCTTTGAATGCGGATCGAACCGTTTTCCATTTTATTACTCAGACTAAGACTGTCAGGTGTCCACCTTTTACACAGAGTTTCGAGAACTGGTGACCATGATCTTCCTTTTCCTTTATTGCCGTTATCCCATCAGTATCCATTTTGCTTGCATTTACAGGTCTGAAGTTCCCTTTCTCCACGTGTGATAAATTGCCACCGCGGCCATTTATAAAAACAACAAAGGTGACAGCCGTCACATACCTGCCAATCGCTATTCGTAAACAAACAAGCACAGATAATTAACTGGGTAACCCAGGTCAAAAAAGCACAGGAATCCCTATCGAAAACCGTGTGGTTGGTTTCCCTAAATTCTGTGGATGAGTGGAATTAACACAAAGATATCTCTGCAGCAGTGGTGCATCCAATACGATTTTTTTCCATATTTTTTCCGTGTTTTGTTGAACCGTGGACATTCTATACCTCCTTATTTATTCGATAACACTTCCTTAGGCTGTAATTGTAAATCCTTATTAATTGTAGCAGCTGATTTTACTTTTCGATATCTACGGTGCGTAAGCGAATAACTCAGCAGCATCGGATTTCATTGTTATGAGTACCATCACAAAAGTGTGATGTTTTTGTTAATGTCCATCCTTTCGTGATTTATTACCCAACTGTATACTCCCAGTAATAGTTAATGAGGTGGTACCATAAACACTTAATTCTCCTTCGGGTTATTTTTCATTGCCCCCCACACTCCCGATAGTTGGACATAAAAATCGATTTGCTCAATCATTTGCCTCGACACACACAATACAGTACATTTGAGGCTGACATGCTACGCTTGTTGGGGCGACAGCCCAGCTGGCATCATATCGCCATCCTTTACTATCTGGCTCGCTGCACTGTGCGTCACGTTCTCAAGACACACCTGGCCGAATTGGATGCCTTACAACACGGGAGCGGAGATGAGCAAAGGATTGATTTGTCAATCGGGAGTGCAAGGATGCGCAGTTTCAGTTCGGCAGCAATGCTTGTAAAACTAAATCAGGTCGAACGGTGAGGAGTTTGTATTGATTGCTATTACATACCTTCCTGTTTCTTTGGCCCATGTATGTTGGGTTTCTGTAAAAGTGAAACAAACCCAGAATATGTTGACTTCCTGGAGGTCTTATTATAAGGCTTTCAGACAATATCTGTATGTGCGCGCGTGCTCGCCTATGGTAAAGAGCCAATGAAGAGTTTTATTCAGTGGAACATACCGATTTCCAACTTTAGCTGTTTGTATTACCCAGAAGAGGCATGCTATGCCTAATTTCGGTACGGTTTGATCAGATGATTTATGTTTACCTATCGGACAAGCAAATAAGCGATTTGTAGAATCCAAAGATTTCGTTAAGATCTGGAAAAATAACATTAGTGAAGGTTGGGTTAAGCTTCTTGATTTGTGCATGAAATATGGTAGTAAAAAAGAACCCATTTAGACGTTTCCGTCATTGAAACTTTTTGGAAATAATTTTCTACACGAGAATAATCATCATGGAGATATTGCTACGGAAAACCAGAGTTAGATACCTCAGATCACGATGTTACTTCTCTCATAAATGTCTTCCACTGTTTATTGATGTTTAAGAATGTCTCCTCTCGATTTTGGTCTNTTCGGGGTCGAAATTTAAGTGGCATTTTACATTAACCCCCTCCCACAGCGAAACATTTTCAAAGAGCGCGCACTCTCTGTCGAATAAGATGTTGAATACCGAAGTAAATTTTGTTACATTGAAAAGGGACTGGGAAACTCATGTTTTCGTTGACGAGAATACTTGTGCTTTCTGAGTTGAGCATAAAATCCGTTCGGCCACGCAGAAGCATGTAGGAAGTAATTAACGCGCGATATAGGTGCCTCTATAATCCAGTTCATGTTCCAGGTATTTCCACTCTGATGTATGACACGGATGGCATATCTGTCGGATTTCATGATCCAGTGTAGAATGTCTCAGAATATGCTATCAATATCATCCGTTTAGTTTGAAATATCGTCTTGGAGAGTGCGGTTAAAACTTTTAAGCTGAACTGACTTTAGATTTACTGGTGTTTTGAATATTTCAGTTACATCTAGGAAACAAAGCATTTGACGCTGAGCATGCCGAGAAACAGACTGATCATGTTATTCATCGATACTAACTTGTGTTGTTGTTCTCTGGTCTGCATTAATCTCTTCATACATTTGTCTCGATAGCACGGACCCGGTGACCCGAGCGTATTCAAACGAGCAGGTTGTTCCAAAATGTAAAACATTTCAGTAATGTTGTATATACATACCCTGATCATCCCGCCCAGCCTCCTTCTTTGTTTCATCATCATGATCCCGTCGGTGCGTTTCGCCATATTGTTCACATTCCTCTCAACGACTGACCATCGCATGTGATAATCGCTCATCTATCGTTTTTGATTTGGTGTTCTTCTTTTTGTAGCTGATTCAGATCACGTAGTCGCTCGCATCCAACACCGTCATTTCATCCCTAATGATGTGCACTGTGCTACCTGCTCACATTTCTTTATTTCTATATACCGGTTGCTGTTACAGGAAGTTTAGTTCAGCATGTCTCTCCTCAACCGACTCGAATGCCACAGGGGATTGTCGTACCCAGGAGCACATGCTCACCGAGATCGGACGTTGTCGTGCTCAGGTGGAGCGGATCAAAGATTTCACCATGACATTTTTTACCCGGTGGTACGCGGACTGGGTATCAAAACACGGTGGCTGGGTAAGTGGAACAAAGTATTCATAAACCCCACTCGACGGTTAAAATTTCATTTTCCAACAAATCTAAGATAATTATGTGATACCAAGACGTGGTTGATGTTTGTGGAACGCTATTTTAAACCTACCTACAGGATTGGTTCATACGTTTTATTAGCATTTTGGAGTATTCAAAACTAACAACCATTGGATTTTTTAAGTGGTATTTGGAAAGTACGAAGAAGCCATGCCATTTACTGACATTAAATATTGCATTGAAAATTACCTTTATTTATCAATACGGTACCTCTTGTCAGTTTACAGGAGATATTTTGATACACAAGAAAATAAACAAGAGCTGATAAGCTAAGGAGCAATGCACAGATGTTTTGACCTGGTCGGATCTCATCTAGTATGCGAATACTTCACGGATTCGAACTCTCGAGTAACAAAAAGACTGAACAGTGCTTCCTAGCTTTCCAATTCATTTGCTCTGCGCACGAAGGAATTGATCGTATGAATCTATTACCTACTACTTTCTTGCAATAGTAGGGTCTCCAGACTATGTTCGCGACAAAAATCAACGACGAGATCGTCGGGTACACACTACAATGGTTCTCATCATTCAGTAATTTTCGATAGATCAAAACTTCATCCATTTACCTGCGTCAGGCAACTGTTGACTTAATACTTTCGTCCTCTGCTTCCCCTCTATAGCGATCGTTAATTGAAGATGCGGAAGACTCTGAATTGGATTGATCCTGGGGTGCAATGGCTTACTCGATTCGGCTTCCTCATATCGATTTTTACTTGATCCTTTAATGAACAATTGCTATTCTAGTCGTGACCAAAGGCACATTCACGCAGGTCGGTGCAAATGTGTGACTTTCGGCATTCCAATCTGAAATTTGATTTATTTTACTCAGGAAAACATTAGGAACAGCTTGGCTGTTCTTACCTTGTGCTCATTTTTAATTGAATTTGTACCAAAACTTTTGGTCCTTCTTGGTTTGTCCGTGAGCAGCTCCCTATCGTCGCATTGTCTCTGTTTTGCACCGGCCCATCTTCATCAAACGGAGTTCAATTCCTCAATTTTTTGCATCCGTCCATTTATTTGATAATTTTTCTGGAAAGCGCCTTTCCAATGAATATGCATGCGTGTTCTTCTTATTTGTCTCTACTTCCATCATTTCTGTACACACGCAATTAGGGTTATTCAGTTTTCACAAGCTCCGTCCTACAGATGATTAAACTCGCTTACTTTTTGCCCATCACTTTTTCCGTGTCTTCCATAAACATTATAAGTTTCGTTTTCAAGGTTAAAAGCAGCGGTACAACAAGCTGCTTTGAGCAGCTAGCACAGGAATCAACGACGAATTTTTCATCTTTAGAAAAACACTGCCACAAATTCCACTGTCGCAAGCTTCATCGACTTTCGCTCAGCATTCATCTCAGTAGACCGTGAGTCATTGTGGAAGGTAATGTTTGTCGACGGGGTCTCAGTCAAGATGTTGAATCTGATAAGATCCTATTATGCCGACACAAGAGTACGACAAGGAAGTCCTCTAACTTCACTCAACTTTGCTGTTAGTTGGTTTATGAACCAAGCGATGGAAGGCTATCAAGGCGTCCAAGTTTCTATCAACTGCTGGATCACCGACCTTGAATTCGTCGATGACGCAGTGATGTTCGGGGAGGACTTGGTCATCTTGCAAACGGCCCCTAACCGCATCAATCAATGAAATTAAAATATAGACCTGGAGATCAACGCTGGTTTTAAAACGTCTTTCAAAAACCTGATCTTACTTTGGGAAATACTGTTCTATTACCGGCTCCTTGTCCAGGCTGGCACCGCCGACAACGGTGAAAAATAAAAACCTGACCGGATACTGTATTCAAAGACGTAGACCGACCTAGTCTTCAGCTGGTATACGGCACCCGTCGGTCAAAAGTCAACTGGACCGAATTCTGCAAGGGCCGGGATTGGTTAACCGCAAACAGAGACAATCACGGAGCCGACTAATTCTCTCCCAGGAACCAGCTGCAGTATATAAGCGAATATTTCTCAATTTTTGACCACGGTCATAGAACAAACCTTACATTTATTCATGACAAACCAATAAAGGAGAGTTCAACTTGTTTGATGATAGATTACGCAACTTAGTATTGCACGGTTTTGACTATACACATTTGTTTGATGAACGGCATGGACCCCATAGTCACGACGACCTGCTGTTCAGTGACGGGAACTGGTAAGCTAATCCCCGGGACTTGGAGCGGAAAACCATATGAACTCCCGCTAAGTTAGGCGTGATATTGAACCGGACGACCGCAAAGCTGCACTGACCCTAAACATAAAGTCACTCCTATAGTTCTTAGCAGAAAATTAAATGAAGCAGTTCTCGAATTACATGCGGATCAGTTCTGTTGAAAAATACTTAATAATGCACTTAGGATATTTGGTAAATACCAGCATTTCCCCGGATGCGGTTTCAGTTTTTAGTTTGAACAACCATTAACCATGCACTTTCGTGCGCCGGTTTTGGTTTTGGCTGCCCATTGGGATGAAGAATAGGAGAAAGGAAAGTTGAAAGTGGATTCGAAAAGAAAATAGAGAACTTCAGTGGACTAAGATTGGAAAGAAATTGAGGAGATGCACGAACGCTACCTACCGGATGCGGTAGGATATCTAAAGTCTAGGACCAGTAGAGCCGCATATTGTCTGCGGTGTTTCCATGTCAGGTATGTAAGATAAGTCACTTTGAATGGGTTGATGTGGCTACACCGAATAAGCAGTCCCAGGTTACGTCTGCAACAAAAGGATAGCATTGTGGCGTGTGCATGACAGGCCAATCATCACACAAAACCGGTGTTGACCTACAGGTAGTTGTAGACGTACCTCTCCACGAAAAATGTAGAGTGGTATCTCATGGCTGATTGCACGAAACCGAATAAGAGCGTGAGAAGCATCATAAAAGAAAACCTTAGCGCTTTCGAATATTTCAGATGTTCACGGTACGCGTTTGGATATCATGTTGAGACCGTACACACACAGCTGAACCGAATTGCACGCACTTGATTCAGAAGAGGGATTTTCATAAAAACGATCATATTGTTTATTATGCACGGTGTACTCCAGCTACGAGGAAACAGAAACAAAATGCACAAATTTTGTGTATGGTTTCCATTGTAATTTGAAATCAAGGTTGGTCAGTGAAAGGGGGTTAAGTAAAAATTTGAAAAGAGAACAGAAAACAATTCACAGACGACATGGGTTGACGGTGGACAACAAAATTGTTTGGAATGATGTGGCAGTCACTCAATAAATAATACAGTGACATGGCTTTGGTACACGTATCACAAGCACATAGTCACTACCAGGATTAGTCCCGTTTTGGTCGAACCGCAGCGCCTCGATAGATTATTCCGTCATGTCCTGGGTCCATATTCCAAATACCCCAGGATACACCCCAGACAGTCAATATCAGACCGATGGTGGTCCACAATATGATGTGAAACAGTTGGGGTTGATCACCCCGGACATCGGGGGACAAATTTAAGGCTTCAATAATTTTCGGATCCTGAAACAAAACGAATAAATGGAATATGAGAAGAATGAACAGCCACAAACAAAAAAGCTCACATGAGGGTAGCGAACTGACGATCAATGTTCAGAATATTAGAGGTGTGGATATGATAATTTTGCCAAGGAGAAGATATGAGCATAGAAGAGATATATGTGAAAGTTGAGATTCAGTTTCGCATAGTCAGTCGCCTTGGAGTTAGATGTGCNGTCAGTCGCCTTGGAGTTAGATGTGCTCGTCTCAATTGCTGTCTTTCGGTTACCCACTTTATCGATCAATGAAAAAGAACTAAAAAGCTGAAAGCAGTACCAAGTTACTAGATCAGCATGGAGAATTTCCGATACTTAGCCGTCTAGATCGATCAACTGAATTGGTCTCGAGATCGGTATCACGAAGCCTAACGTTACTTACATAGTAAAATTTCTTGATCAGGGTTCACATATCTTCATGCGAGGTCATTGTCAGACCATTTCCTGTCTACTTCCAACAATTACCACCTTCCCATAACGAAGAAGCGCATTTGTTGATCTGCGGAACAAATGCCCGAGACACAGCAACACATAGTGAACGTNTCTTGCTTATTGAATATCGATTGAAATAACACTAACATAACAAGGTTACTTAAGACACATGCACCTTTCACATATTCAGAATATGGCTAAGAAAAGTGCACTACAATCTTACAAGTAAGTCAGACCGGCAAACCTCGTTCGACAAAACTGTTAACCTTAGGCACAAAATCCTTCATCAACAAAGGATTGTGCTTGGTATGCGAGTGGTCTTTCGTAAAATCCACAACAGAGTAGGTGACGTAAAAGCAGTAACTAACAGCGATCTATTCAAGACGCGGAAAGGAAACAGGTCGACACGATTTGAGGTTTTAAAATTTTCGGACGTATGAGTGGTTAGCAACAAAGTGGTCTTACAAATTTACAACGTTCACACTTCTTCGACCAAGACACTGCTGCTGTACGCTTCCCATGTCAGACCAAGACTTGAGTACGGTGGTGCGGCGACATACCCCTGCACGGCCGGNCGGCCGGTGAACTGGCTAAGTTGGAGCGTGTACAACATGCTGCCACTAGACTCGTTGTTGGACTACGCGGGACCAGCTATGAAGGTCGTCTACAGGCTACTGGTCTGTTCCTCATTGCGTATCGACGCCTCAGGGGACATCTGCCTGAGGAAGATCCAGAGAGGTGGGTCCGGAGCTACAACAGTACTTCCCTTTACGGACAGAGCACTGCACGCGAAGGCACTCTCTCACGTTGCGGAAACTTAAAACAGTTGGTCTTCCGTTAGTCTACCGACTCTCACGTAGGTCAACAACACTGGAATTCCCTTCCGGTTATTGTGGTGGAAGACAGACGCTGCTTTCAAACGGCGTCTGGCATGAGCGCCTGAAGGGGAGGAACGAACACTTGTGACCGGACCTTCGACCCAGTGGTGATGGGGCTTACACGGGCACCCTGCTCTCTGCCCTCAATCCTGAAGACTGGCACCTTTCCCTTTCACAAAACCGATAGCAAATTCGTTGTTTACTAAATTAATCGATATAAATAGGTGACTGAAATCGGTTATCCAGAGGCTTTGTAATGAATACGAATCATTCAGAGATGAATTTGGGATATCAATGGTAAACCTGGTCATAAAGCAATATTGAAATATAAAGATATTACATGTTAAAACATACACATCGCACGGATATGCCCACACATTCATCGACGGAGAAAAATAGTCAAAATATGCATGTAACGATGTATTTGTGCGTTGCTGGATGGCGAACGATGCGAGTATGCTATGGCGGTTATTGACCATAGGACTGAAGGACATGTACACGGAACAGGGTCGTGAGAATAGAGACGTGTGAGCGCAATGATGACATGACCAGATTCGAGAAAAAAATGAACGGGACTCAGAAAGGCCTCCGTCGGTGAGGAAAAGCAACGGGATAAGAGAAACGCAGGGGAATATCATTGTGAAATCTTCACAAACGAAATGATTCATGTTATGCGGTAGACTGATCTAGAGCTAGGGCGAATTTCTCAGTCTGCGATCACGCGGTTAATTGTAGGCTAAGTTCAACTCGAAGAGCGTAATCGGAATCGGATAGCGAGATTTGGATTGGCGTGCCGTTCGGGTTCCAGTTCTGAATGGTCGACAGATTTATCTCGGTATATCCCAACTTCCCTGGAACGGGGCGAAATTAAAAACAGAACAATTCAATGAACGAATGATCAGTTGCTAATTCAGTTAATGACAGATCTGGTCCTGACCGATAATTAAGGTAACAAGTCGCGTTTTGGATGGCTGTCACTGTGCGAGTCTGACGGCAACTAATAAAATGAAAACACATTTATCATTCTCAAAAAGAGCATCCAGAAATAGAACTCGGAGACAAAACAGATTTGCGTTTGTGATACCTTTGTGTGACTAATAGTTGAGAGAATGAAACATATAATCACGAGGACCTGTAGTACAATCATGATGACCGAAAACCCAAACCCAATAAGGTGGGCACGATGTTGAACAGAACCACAACAAAGCTACCTAGCGTCAAAATTTGGCGATGAAGCAGGATTTGAACCTCGGACCTGGAGCAGGTCAGCGGCAGCGATTTCAACCAATTACCAAACAACACCACAAATCATGGAACGTGCCCACATAGGAAGACAATGATTGCCCTGATCAATATACGCAATCATCAGCACTACTTCGGAAATCTGCGATGCAGTGTTCATTAACCAAAATGGAAGAATATAATGGAGTTGATTAATCGAGTCGACCTACTTTCACCTGGCCACGCCAGATGATCAAAGGCCCAAAGGCACAATTTTCCAGGACGGCCCGTATGGTACATAAATCGCATCGGAGCACTGGGACGAGTGGGCATGTTAGGCTCAAATTTCGTGTTATAAGTTTGGCGTGGTTGTTGATCGACACAGATTTCGAAGAGGACTTCAAACGGCGCTGAACGAGGGAAAGAGAAGAAACCAGGCTGGTTTAAGGGTGTCTTTTACATAATTAATACAGACAAATCAGAATCGTACTCACTTGTACAGTTCGACCAAAATTGTACTATCCTGATCAAAACGGAACGTTCATTCGGTTCGTGAGTGGGGGCTTGAAAAGAGATAGAAGAGATTTCTAACTGATGCGATGAAATGATAGGAAGGGTTTCTGGGTACTCGTGACCTAAGGGACCACAAACGGGCAACTTTACATTCACAAATGGCAAAACGCTCGAACGGGTTCAGAGAAAAAGATGGGAACTGAAAGGAGCGTGCGCTACATAAATGACGTATAGAGAGTGCACTTCTTACTGAAGATCACAATGGGGGTAGCACTGACCGCTCTTCATATCAAGATGACGTATTGAGTAGCAGAACAATACCTATAGAGAAGTGTGCACAAACATTTTAGATGTATCCATTTGACAAGTATACCAGATAAACTGATACAGCACGTTTGGAGTGAAATTAGTTTAGGACACGCAGTATATTCTGAAGGAAAACAGGTTTTTAACGATAACAATCGCAATACCTCATCGGAAAATGGAAACAGAGATAGTCAGTAAAAGAGAACCATTAGGAACTGTGAGACCGACAATGATTTGCAGAACTCTAAGCTTTGAATTTGTCAACAGTGTACCGTGTACAAGTAACTTTGCGAATCAGGCAGCCATCGTGAACTAAAAAACCTAATGAACTCGGGGTTGAACTACAGAATCAGCTAAGTGAACACCAAACCAAACTAGTCAAAACAGTGTGCAATCCGTTGCTGACGAACTCGCTCACCTGTGGACGGTTGAATATGTTTAACATTCGGACTGGCTTGTCCAGTGCATTTACGAATAGCGTTCCACAAATGCATGACCCAGCGNTGAAGGCATGAAAAAGAAAAAAAGGTGCACAGGTTGACAGAGAAAACAGACCACCACATAGTCAATCGCGTATAGATCATGACCATCGATAGAAGTGAAAAACAAACCAAGAGTATCTTGGTATTGTTTTTCCACCCGGTAAAGGTTTCTTTTGGTACACGAAGAAGATGAATTCCGTTGATAACTTATTTCGATATCTTAGTGCTATAACATCATTCGCCAAGTAATAGATATATGAGTACGTACAGTAAATGACAGAGAGATCATGAATACAGAACCTAGAAAAATGCAGAACAAAGACGGTCATCTAACACTTGGGAAAATAAAAGGGTAAACAAGCATGATAAAACAGAGTCATGTTAACCAAAAATATGGATGAACTCAGGCATACATACCTTTCGCTAGAACTGGGAGCGCGAAGTGTAAGAAATGGCTCCCCTGGTTTCGAACGGCGAAACAGAGAAAATGTCAAATTTATTTCGTGTACAGCATCGGATAGGTTACGCGAGGATGAGCCTAACTTTTTCACTGGAGTTGCCGGGGGATTCGGACGCTCCGACTGTCGGTAAGCCACCGAGGGACTAGGAAGAGTCAAATTAGAAAGACTGTTGTATAGTTTTCCTCCATAATCGTTCCCTGTGCCCGAGCTGGCGATAATCTACAAAAAGAGAGAGGAGTCGTAACCTAGCACTTTTCAACTGTGATCAATCCATGAATCTTGTTAGTGTGATGAAATGACCCAGTAATAGTAGTCCAAACTAAATTAAGAGAAGCAAACCCTTTTGAGCTTGACAATTACACGATTCCTAGATATGATTGCAATAAATCTTATGAAGTGATGTACACCTTATCCGAGGACAAAAACGTTAGTTGAGTCCAATGCATCAAATCAAACCGGGTCTTCCATCCGGATTTGATTAAATGAGCAATAATCCAATCCACAATGCTAAATATTTCAGTTGCATTTAAATAGCAAATTCCAGTGACTAGCTGTATACGTGAAGCGATACTGATTTGTACTGCATCATCAAGTACAGACCACAGTTCGTTCAACTGACCGTACATTAGGGCAGCACTGAACACCAGTCTCCATTTTGATGATGCTCATATCACGCATTCACTCACAAGTAACCGAGAGGTAAAAGTGAATTTGCAGTCTAGCCCAGCAGACAACTGTAATGTGTGCTCGAACCTAAACGAAAGACCGGATTTGGTAGGAGACATTCGGATCATCAATTGTGATTTGTTTCGAGTGGGCTGTATGGTGATCACTAAGGAGTGCTTCGTACAAACGGTTGGTAGTTCAACGCCTGAACTCATTAGTGGATGTGCATAAATGATGAGCTCTAAACCGGAGTGAATCTTTAGGTTAGAGCTTCCTGAGTATACAATTGGTTGTATGAACTGATGATTATGTATGTGAAGATGAGATCTGAGGGATAATCGGTTCAAAGCAATATCATCTATGCAACACCCTTAATCGCAGAAACAAGATTTGAATGAGAAATGATTGGTAAATCAGTCGGCCTCATAAAAAGCGCTCGCACTGGACAGGCCGATGAATTTACTTCAATAAACTTCCGCATTCTTTTGATTGAATGCAAGCATGTGAAACTTTCCAGAAGCTAGGATGTGCGGATTGACGACAGAACAGAGGAAAACCAGCAGTGGTGGTTTGCGATGTGATTGTGAACGTGACCGCTATGATAATCATTGAAGGCATCGGAACGGGGAGTCGACAGCGAAAAGGAAACCACAGCACTGAAGTCCACTGGTGTATGTGTATACTCGGTCACGAGCAAGTCAAACACAAAAATGACCAAGATGTTGTGCGTAACAATCAGAATGGACAGGTTTACCCACGGCAAAAAACGGTGAGCCGTTCAAAACCCGCGAAAGCAGATAGAGGTGAATGATACTAGCCGCAAAACAAAGCAAGAGCGAGCTCAATGATTTATGGTAAAGTTGTAAAATGCATGCTAGTCGTCAACATTCAAATTACCTCGGCCAACGGGATTGGTTGTTTGTAGACTGCAAACGTTTGCGTGGACTCCGAACCAGGGGAGGGGAATTCAAAACACTGGCCACCGGTGGAAAAATTAGGCGAGGTGAGTAATAAATATCGAGTGAACAAGAATCCAATCAATTCGCGACCGGATTTGACCTGAGTGGGGGTACGAGGATAAGGGAGATTGTCGAATGAGATGAAAAACATTTATTAAATGCTTTTGAAAAGGGCGACGAGTGAAAAATACATTGCTGAAGAGGGTTGATTATGGGAGTAACGGACAACCATACAAAAACACCAGATTGGGCAACAACAATCTACTCTGAGGCTACGGATCTTACAGTTCAAACACATCCCCCTCGTCCTCTTTCACGGGTTTTCCCCTATTCATCCAAACAATCATTGCCATTTAAAATTACTGCTACCCTGGTACAAATCTGTATGTCCAACGGAAAATAACCTCTCAACTACTAAAGTTGCTGCGAGGAAAAAATGAACGTGCATAAGAGTCACATTATGCCACAGTACAGGTACTTGCCCAGGCTTACCAAAGCTAACGAAAATAGATGCATTATTCTTCGATCGAGTTCTGAGGACTGGAAAGATCAAACACCTTTGGCAAGGTATCAGTCCTATCTGTGAAAGGAAAGAAGTAAAGTCGAAGCTGGATGTTGATGAGATCAATGAAGCATTCCTGCGCCCGTCGTCGGACATTCCACCTGCCTACTCGTCACGCTATGTTTGTAAGTTGGAATCACTCTCGAATAGCGATGAGTTAAAACTATTAAACAGTAGAAATTCGTCTTCTACTGCAGGCCCGGATGGTTCACCTCTAGCACTGCTGCCTCCCTCCATCGTAAATGAATTACTTTACACTTAAACTACTCCAGACTGTTGGAGGCCGGCCACAATTATACCAATCCCAAAAGCACCCAGATGTATCTTTGTCAAACGTTTTCGTCTCATAGCATCGACATATTCTGCTCTTAAGTTGACAGAAAAGGCTATCCTCAAACGTCTTCAGCAATCTATAAACATCCCCAATGATGCTTTACAGTTTGCTCACTAACCTAATAGGTCCACATTAGACGCAGTCTCCACCCTTATTCGTTTTTTTCCCAAATTATTTGAGCAATCCTGTTAAGTCTGTTCGGTGTATTTTTCTTGACTTCTCTTCAGCACTTGATTACTCGATCAAATCTGCTATAGAAACCGGAATCCTTTGAAATGCCCCAAGCTTGGCTATCCAACTGTTTTACCAATAAAGAAAAAACCACTAGACGTATGAAGGCTGCATATAAACACTTAGTCAACCACTCTAGTTTTTCAAGGCGCTGTGCTATCCCCATACTTATTTCCCACGTACATTTGTGATATTCCTTGTTTCTCCTGCACGTTCTTTGAAATATGCAGCCAATGTTGTGCTGTGACAACCCATTTCTTCTTCCTCCGATCTAAGCTCCTTCATAAATATTGATCAAATTTAGTTTTTTTCTTCCCAATCGGGATTCAGCTTAAACGCCAGGAAATATGTTGAACGCTGATTTAGTTTTGCACAATCTTCATACTTAAAAGACCCCACAGTGATAGACAACAATTCTTTATGAAGGGTGAACTCTCAAACATTTGGAGTAACTATAGATAGCAATCTTTATTGGCCAACCAACATCCACAACCGCATTGGTAAACTGCGGCGGCTATCAATTTAAATTCGAAAGCTCAGGTAGTTTCACGCATCCCAGCCAGTTGTTTCTATTTTTGTGTATCGATGCGTTTTACTCATCCTACTTTGTTGTTCCGCGGTCATCTTCCCTAGCTTATATGAATAGGATTTCAAAGTCTTATCCCGCGGATTAACTATTATTAGAAACGGTTCTTCTATTCCTGTGAACAAGTTACCAGTGAAAATTTATTATAATTAGTATTATTTGCGGAGAGGATTCTCAGAGAGCCTGACCACCCGTTGCACGCAGAACTGACACGTTGTCGTTTTCATCATTCAACACGCTCTTGATTCCGCCAAATCTCATCTCGTATTAAGGTTCAGCGAAATTCACCTGTTTGCACGTTTAATCAAAAGCAAAAAGAGAGGGTAACAAGTGAACTTCGTTTTAAACTTGGATTATGAACTGACCCTATGTCTGTCGACGCATTTTCCCCGTTGAATGTGTTCTCTGAGATAGGTAGGGCATATAAGTTTTTAACTGAAATGTAAGCTTCAGAGCTTGCCAAAGTTATATACAACACCATACAAAACAGTACTGTTGTCTTTACAAATCGTAAAGAAACATCGTGTAGACTACTCAAATTTGCCGAGGAAGCGTAAAACACCTAACACTAACCTTGAACAGAGTACCATAAAATAAAAGATGCAGACGATCCGAAGGATTTCGTTTCCCAGAGTTTGTTAGCCAATCCAAAGTAACTGCATCACCTATCACACGCGCTCGAAGCCAATCTGTACGACGATCCAAAGCCTTCGTCCCGACAGCAGTGTTTACTGAATCAAGAACATTTGAGATAAGTAAACGCGCTTTCGTGCAGGCATCGAAGTCTGGATGCGACTGATCAGTATGCTCGAGGATCTGGAATAGGGCATAAGTCAAAGCCCAAGGATAAGGAAAACAGTAGAATGATCAGAAACACCCTGTTCCATGAGTGGGTTAATAGACGGATGAGTACAAATGAACACAATGATTAATGTAAGTAAAGTCAACGTCAAGAGGGGGCACATGATGCGAAAAATTACACTGAAAAGTGGACTATTTTGGTCACCTCGACGGTAAAGTGAATAAAAAGTTGATGGTATACTAGCGATTATGAGCACCTCCAATGGTAGACGACATTCCATGAATTCGATAAGCTTTACTACCTGTTCCAGTACACGCGACTCTCTCATATACCACAGTGAGGTCGAAAGGGCGATCTTTGGATTTCATGGAACATATTTAGTTAGGCAAACAGAGAAGTGGACAAGTAATACCTGTTGTTATTATGATTTATATCATGGCAGGTAGAGACGGACATACCCGTTCAACAAGGAGCCTGTATTTGGTCAAGCGTTGCATCGGTTTCAACAAATAAGTTGACAACGGTAGACCCCTGGTTCGGGTATTCTGCTCGCACAAACGGACCAGTTGTTGCAGTTTGACATTCTCTTTTAAATAAGTGTGAAGCGATTCGGCCGCCAAAGTCTGACGTGTGCAGTAGGAACGATACGTACGAAATTTCGGAAGCTGAGAACAAAAATATGCCGAACCATGGGGTGAGGAGTGCAGTGAGAGAGACAAAGGAAAAAGATAATAAGTGAGGTTCAGAACACAGAGGAGAACAGTGAGACGGTCTCGCTTAATAAACTCTTTGCTGGTTGTCAATGTTTACCGTAAGAGTAACAAAAGGCTGGCCTTATAGCGATTGTTTAACCTAATTATAGGTGTCCGGTTTCTGAAATGGTTAATGCGTGAGTTCTGGTGGGGTTAGATAATACGTGTGATACATCGGGCAGTAACCACTGCGTCTTTGACTTTGAATCTATTCGATTCCAATAAAGCTAATAACCAACCAGAACAGTTCACGAAATGCGGTTAACCTTGGCATTCAGACAGCTCTCGTATTCAGAAAGAGATCATGCGGCGAATGCGCGAGATACCGTAGGATAGACAAATTTCGAAACAGAAAAAAACTATTTTCAGGCATTAGTTTATCAAGATTTGCGGGAAAATAATGACTATCGAAGGGCGTAAAGACAGAGCATTTATCGAGTAGCTCAGATAACAAAAAATATGGAATTATTTTACCGGTCTTATCACTAAGGCGTTTGCCAATCACGAAGTTATAGAACATGCTCACCATTTTTTTTAATACACATTTATGTGTGATGAACAGCAGACGGGGTGGATCCCATAAGGTCCCGATAGGTTAGTCGTGGTATTAAACTGAACAACAGCAGAGCTGCCACCAACATTGGGTGGCGGGGCTCGAACCTCGAACCATAGAGTCTAAAGCACGCGGGTGACAGGTGAAGCTTAAGTAATTAATGCGAGCAATTAGGTTATTCATAGCCAGGCAAACATGGTCTAGAGTGCACTCGCCTAGCAGCTGGCATATTTGAACGACTATTATTCACGTGAAAAATGAAGAAAACTTACATGTTGTACTAAAATATCACCAACACAGAAGTCCGTGGCATTTAGTTGGTTGTTCCACGCCTCCACACGAGCGGTAAATAAACTGAAACGAGGGAAGATGCAAGAAAAAAGGAAACGCATGGTGAATCTTGACATACTGATAGCCTATCTCTACACAAAAACTGAATTAACGAATTAATTAATTTAATTTAATTATGTTCAACATAAGCACATGGTGAAAGGCAAACTGCTGACTCTTTTTAGTAACATTTACTTCCGTTGACGAACTCTCTGACTATGGTGATAGATACCTTCAAAACGCTACATTTTCTCTGAGAGAGAGAGAGTAAAATTTCGTTCTAGCACCAAAGAAAGAGTCTCATGGATGGTCTTTTTAAATTATCTACTTGGGAAGTAGAACGGAAAGTCAATACGTGGATCTTCAAAAATGAGCAGCTAGCTCACACAACGGACCTGGAAAACTCTCACAGGAGGCGCGTGAACTGGCATCGGGGCATACAGAAGGATGGTAGTGTGTGAACAAAAGCCGTGTCATCGGACTCATGACCACTCGTGTCCCATTCGGCATCTCATGTCGTTTGCCATTCAAGTGTCAAGAGGTGGGTTCACATATTTTGATTAAAGATTCTCCGGCACTAACCAGCCCCCCATTTATTACTCAAAACCGAGAGCGTACATAACCATTGCAAATCATCCTAGTCAACATGCATATCTCTTATTCCACTGCTAATCGTTCTTCAATACAAACAAGAGACCATGTTTATACACACTTTATTCCAGGAGTGCGTAGACGCAGTCAACCGGCTGCGACACACGCGCATGGCGACTGATTTCATGTTGCTGTCTGAAATGGAATCAATCATGTTGAAGAAATAATGTGGAGGTCAACAGACAACGTGGAGACGAGGCATGAAGAAATGCACAGAGCCATTAGGTAGAGGTGTCTCTCGCCTTCCAGGTTGGGGTCCGAAAGACTCCACAGCCGGTTGGTTGGAGACAGTGAAGGATATGGTGGTGAACCGACAGCAGTGGGATTCTTGTTATCACTTCTTATCAGGCCAGAACGCTTGAAAAGGTATGTATGCAGTGTTCCATTGCGTACTGTGTGTTGACCATACGTCGCCCTCTTCCCTATCCCTCAAAATAGGTCCAAACCCATACCACTAACCTTGTATGCATTACGACTTTAGCGGCGACCAGTGAAGTTCGCCTCGATGTATTTCGCTGTACGATGATGATGAAACAATAACGGGATAAATACTGTTACTATCGAGATGTGAAGCTCCCGATCCAGACCACCGAGAATCTCTGGTTTTTTGGGGTGAGAGAACGCATGAATCAGGTGTCGGTCCGTGTTCCTCACGATTGACAGCTATTCAACCTCACCAAATGCTTCTGACATAATCGGATCATTTCAATCGGTCCAAAGTGAAACAACAAAGAGGAGTGTTGTTGTCAATTCATCACGCAGACCGCAGAGAAGTGAGATAAGTGGCAGTCTAGTGTGGAGGAAGAGAAGAGCGATTACACATAAATAAATAATGATAATAATAAAAATACAGCCTTCATAGAAACAAAGACAATTCGGTGATCGAGTAAATTACTTTACCCACTGACGTAAACAATTTCTCTGATAATCATTTATAGCGAACCTTTTCAGAGATTAGGAAATTGGGACGAGAAAAGCCTAAATGGAGGCCATGAACGAACAAAAGGCGAGAACAGACTAACAAGAGCACGATGACCCAGACAATTTAATGGTATGGGTTGCCTAAAAATGATGCGAAGATTAAATCACTAGACAAAACTCGTTTTACTTTGTAACGGAAAATCGATATTTATGAGTTTTGGAATTTCCAGATACAACCTAAGTAACCGAGTTTCGGGAAATGATTCGATTTCACATGGACGAATTAGGGGGTAAATACGAACACAAAAACCGGGTTTAACATACTTAAGCAGTTCTCGGGATTGGACAGATAGTTCAGACCAATTGAGGAAAATTCGGTTGATTTGCACATCGCTGAGAAGCATCGAGTTACGCATCGGTTCGTAGAATACCTGGTCGGTAACGAGGGAAAAACGAATAATAAATGATTGAGGAAAAAAGTTCACATAAAACTAATCAATACCATTAGGTAGATTGTTTCCTGACACACTACCACTCAAACTCAGTGCTCCCACGAAGTCAACCGTGACAGATGAATTGCGTAATCTAGATCAGATGTTCACTTCATTAGGGCACGACATTTTATCACGACAAAAGTGCATGGTACCGTATATTAAAAGAACACAAATTACCTGGTTAACACAGGCTTTATAATCAACGAAAACCATCCGCTTAGACTGAAATTGCACCCCAGATCTGGTATTTTTTGCCTAGTAAAACCAATTCACGTAATTAGTTCGGTGAATAATTATTGACGATGGTTTGTCTTGTGAGTTTTATGCCCCGCTTTTGGATGCAACGTAACCAGGTTCATGATGATGATGATCACCAGTAAAAGTATCGTGTTCATCGTAAAACGAGATACGACCGGAAATTACACAAAGCAGTTCATTAAAGTGAAGTGCGCTTTGATGATTGATACCAAGTTCAATATGTAATATACGGATGTCTCTGGGGGTAGACGAGAAAAAAGTAACCGTCTATGGTTAGGTCTGCCGATTGGGCACACATCCGAATTATGCTTGCATGCACACACGAGCAAGCACATACCCACACGCAAACATTTTCAAGCACTCAGGGTGTTCGCCCATGAATTGTTGACTCCGGTCCTGTGGTTTTGTATTCAGAGCGGTTTGTTGCACTGAGTCCATGGTCAGCACCGGGCGTTTCTTTATGACCGTCCACTTTCTTCTTCATATAAAGTTCGAATTCACCGGACACCTGAAAACTCCTATTGCATCAAGACTGAGGTATCGCATTCCATTCTTACTCGTCCGGAGAGGGTTCACTACAGGGTATCCGGTTGATCAACCTACCTTTAATTTTTTTAATTTGTATCCGAGTCCGTGTATGGCGACTATTATCCGTTCGTAGCAGCCATCGGCGCAGAAAGAAAGGTAGTTTGGATTTTAGCTTTGGAGACCAGACACGGATTTCAGATTGCCTCCGAGAGCCACATTATCCGAAAACTGGAGGCCCACAATCCAGCTGTCCAGTCTAAGTTGCAGCAACGGTAACTAGTGGGGGCGCGGCTCAACGTCCGGCAAATGACGTAGCTGAGCTGCATCGTAGACAGGACAATGTTATCGAATTTCTGAGTTCAAGAGTAACTCCTACAGCCTCTCGCCTTAGGTACGGATAGAACTCTGATGTTCACGTAATATATCTTGATGAGTCCTCTGAGACTCTCCGTAATACAATCGGTTTTTATGTTCCACAACGACCTAGGGTGAAGGGAAGCAAAGATTGTGTGAAATTTATTGAGAAGAGGCTTCCGTGTACTGCATTAACTTGTGGCAGCGCTTCAAGATCCGACTTGGGGAAAATTTAAGATCAACATGATCCACGACACAGTGGAATTCGCTGCAGGTGCACGTCTCGCTGCTGCGAAGCCATTAGGTAGTATAAATGTGAGCAGTTTGGCTACTTTGGCAATCAGACTGATACCACGAGAGTTTTGGTACACAGTGATAACGCCTTTTCGGTATGCGCAGCAAAACAAATATATCCCATTCTTTGGGGAAGGTCGTCGATTCCCAGATTTTTTGGGATAACGAACGTAGGTTGTCGGTTCCCATGAATGAATGATAGATGACCATGACTACGGGGTGTAAACCATCTTCTGATCATCAAAAAAAAATCATTGAAAAAACCAGTTTGTTAATCACTGAGTTCAGTTCCTTTCTATCCGGTAGTTTCTAGTTGATTGTGAATGGTTTGCAGTTTATTATCAAGATTAGATGATTCGGGGACAGGTAAATTCACTTAACTTCCTTGTGTACTTCGGCTATTGAGGCCGCACAGTAAACCATTTCGTTTTAGATTCTTTACAGAAGGTAGAAGTGTTCTCGGAAGTTTCCGACACTTTTGACGGCTCCTTTCTGACAGATACCTTTTACGGTCCGACATTGTGGAGTGAGTGGCTTCAAATCAGAGGAGTCGCAGCGTCGCGCTTTTCCTGCCTTATGAGACAGCTGAAGCGTTTCACCGAAGGGTATATCTGTGGTGTCCAGTGTGGCTTCTGTGATCCACCTCTTAATTGTTACCCATTAAAACATGATAACTTATAGAATCTATGCTCTTTCCCGGTTGTCTGGTTGGGTCTAGTCACGCGAGGAAGTTTTTATTACGCTTATAGATGGATAGACAGGAAAGCGCGTACAACGATTGATCATCGGTGTCATTTTGATTTTCAGTTTTATTCCTTGTGGTGAGTTTGACTGCTTGTGAATCTATAGTGTAGTCGGTCTGGTGCACTGTTCTTCTTTCGTGTGAATAACGCGTCTAACAATGCCCGATTGAAGGTCTTTATCACCGTCCCAAATGTACAGCGAAACACAACGAAACCAACTTCACTGGTTACTATTAAATCCACAAAATACAAAAAGTCAGTACAAATGCGTTAGGTGGACATGGAGTGAACCAGCACGCATATCCTAAATGTGCGTAAACACCTCTTCAAGCACTTCGGTTGTTGAAAGCGTGGGTTGGAAACGATCAATGGACTAAGGTCATAAAACGTAACCAAACGTTGATCATTTTCGCTACCATCTTGTCAAAGTTCACGAAGTGTTTTGATAATGTGATATTGAATGATGAATCAAGCATCATCCGGCTTTTGTATAAGAGTGCATCTATAGGCGTGACCCATCCAAGTACGAACTGTGAGGTAGCATGATAGTATGGTCGTTGACAGTCGGTGACCAAATACGCAGTCTAGGCACTTTTCGGAGTGACTAACTTTCTCATGTGAACTGGAAAGATCGGCGACCGCTGGTTCACGAGCTTCTCCAAATACCTGTCCATGTTGCTAATTTCTGGATTAAATGGCTTTGACCTTAGTAGCGGGTCATACTTGTGTACGACACATTAATGTCAGTAGAAAACCAGGCACGTGGGCAGACACCACCACTGAGTGTCCGCAACCATATCGGGGAGAACTCAGCTGCTCATAGTTAGCCAGTGGAGTAGTCACTCTCTATCTGCTCCCCTATTAAGGAATCCAAGCTCTCTTCAAACTCCAACCGACAGTCACTTTTAGAGACAGACTTTAAATATGCGATTGATGCTCGGTATGAAAACCTTGTTTAGGTTTCGTGTGTAGCAGCAGATGGACATTCTTAGTCCCCTCCCCATACGACAGGAAAATGTATGGAACTGTGAACGGAATGTCATGGTGGCTGGCACACAAAAACTGACCAGATTTGTACGATATCTATCCATATCCACAGTGAGAGAGAAAATAACCACTGACCTTTTTCACCTCGTTCAAATCGTTTGCATATGACTCCTCAGTGAGAATCAGTTCCCTGATAGCCAAGTCTCGTTTGGATACGAGACTGGTGAGGAGATTGGCCAGACTGGATGGATCTTTGCATAGCCGTTGGTGATGTGACACTGGTGAGACAGAAGAACAACGACAGTTAGGTATGATTTGGTGTGGCAAACAAATTACGAGCACAGAATGTCTGTGTTACAGGACAAACACATACGAACATGGAGAAACACATATCGTGCACGAGTACGGGTTAGACCAAATGGGATCGGAGAAGGAGGGATAACAGATGACGTGTACTGACTAGGTGAGTGAATGGATCAAGTAGGCGAGGGATGAATATTGTATCATAGTGTTCCTGGTGTTGTGTACAAGGAAAATATATACTAAAAGTGGGTGTGTGCAAGCAGACATCGAGGACAAACAATTGGATATAAACACCGTAGTGCAAGATGAGCACGAACGGACGGTAAAAACATTCAAGAAATGGAAATGATCAGCGAAAATACTGTAAGATAAATTATGTAAACGAAAGTGCAGTAATGTGTTATAAGAGGCGTTATTCCAAAAATCACGCAAACTAAGGGGTAGTTTTGCTCCCTAAATAGATTATACTTAGTGAACAACAACGAAGCGTGGTCAATGTGAAAATTATCCGTGTCAACAGGTATTAACGTTAGGACATAGGCATTCATTTTTTCCAAAAACGATACTCACAAAAACACTAAAGTTAATGACGTGTTAATTCATTAAGTCAACTTAGTTGCATGAGGCGTGATAATTTAGTGAGTGATGGTTATGAGAACACCTAACGAGCATTGCTGACACCAGATGGCCCCTAAATGTACTCTCAAAAAGGCTCAATTGTATTTTTTATAAATTCTTTTTGTTTTCTTACAGAAAAAATACACAGTCAAATCTCAATTAGCTGAACGCTGTCAATGGAGAATATACAAAGTTGGGCAGTAGTGAGGCTGACTCTGAGGGTGCAATTCACACATTACTCGGACAGTCTCATTCTGATAGGGTGTTGAATGCTGCAGCAAATACAGTATGTACATCAGCCACATACAATTCGTTACCAACGACAACACTGAACATGCGTACAGTGAGCACAGAGTGAGGGGTTCAAACCAAAGGGGAAAGCCTTTAGAAATGGCTATCTTGTGAATGAACAGACTGAAACAGATACCAACTCAGATGAACTTAACGGCTCGCAACCACATTACTTCAAATCGAACGCGGTGCGGTTTCTTTTGTTTTGGGTGGCTGGGCACGAAACCCTAACGAGTGAAAAGATATACAAACATATACCAGTGCAGTTATCAGCCACTCTGGACAACAGAAAAACGAATGCGGAATGACTCGAGTAGGCATGAACATCATATGCAAACTATCACTCCTGCGGACACGGTTTCTATCGCTCCACTTTTTGAAAAGCCGTGCATACAATTCGTTAGGGGATCTACGGGAAAATAAATGATGTTGTACAATGAGGCATAACTGTAGGGTATACAGGTAAATACAATTACAAACTCAAGGATCTGGGGCCGTGTCAGACCAAATGGCTGCTCACACATATAAGCAACATATAAAACAGCAAACCGAGATTATAGTAATAGTAATAACGGCGAAAAAAGCGAGTGTAAGAAAGGGGACAACCGCAGAGGTAAAAAACGCACACAGAAAATAATTGCAAACCGACGTTCACGACAATCCAAAACAACCTTTCGTATTCCACTAGATGGGATCAATTAATCCCAAAGGTGAACTGCAGGCTAGAGACAGAGAGCGCTTCGAAAGGAAAAGCGATATAGATTAATTCTAATATCTAGCCAATCGAACAATATTTTGGTGCTGTCGTTCAAAAGGATTTTAACTATTTCAGAAATTATACAATGGTGTATATTCGCGACACTACCGCAGGATCATTTAGCTGAACTTTTGAGACGCTCGAACGTACGTAGTACGTACGCCATTCCGACTTGGAACCCATGAAAGCAGCAATCCAACCATGTGGGTAGATCACTAGTAATCGTATTCTCGCAGGCTCCTCGGGCGGTATACACCGAGGCTGATTCTCTAAAAAACGGAATGCATGCATTCTATTAGGGTGAGTGTCTGGTACATAAAACTCTTATCCGCCTCCTGTTTGAGCCACAACAGATGAATCAGTGTAGCCGCAGATCGTTAGTACATTGGGGAACCTCACGTTTTAATGTTCATCAAAAGAAACAACCTTTGATTATCATAAACTCTCCATAAATCTTTTTCCTACAGTTGACAGTAAATAGTATTTTCACTTCTTTAGGCTGCGTTCGGAACCGAATGAGGGAGGCAACCTTGATAAGTTCGTCCATGACAATTGAAGTAAGAGAGGCTCAGAGACGCACGCATTCACAAACCCATTTTGTGTACATGGGCGGGAATGCGGAGTTGAAGGTCAAAGGGAAAAATTATGATCAATGAGATAACAATGTGAATAAACTATGTACCTGTGACGGCATCCGGATTTTATGCTTCTCACACCTAGTGTGTCACTCACTAAAATTCACCCCATAGACGAGACAGTGGTTGAAATGAGAGAATGAAAGATGATACAAACAAAATCCGTGGACAAGAGCTGATTATTATATTTCAAAACTCGAAAATCCCCGAAGAACTATAACTGTCTACATATAATGCATGCTTCTTCAGCCGGTTCGGTTTGTTGAAAGGGACAAATACATGGATCGTTTTCGATTTTGACCACATTTGTGGTGCTTGTCAACTTCAAACAACTTTACCGTTGCAGCGACATCTGACTTTCCTTAGTAGTTCGGTATTTGTTGCAGTCATCCGACCGGTTCTACATGGGCGCAAAGGGGAGATAAAAAGCCATCGATCTCCGAAAACCGCTGTATACGTCTCACTGAACAAGTATCATGGAACAACCAGACAAGCAATGTCGAGGTTAGGTGCAAGCTTGCAGGTAGTCGCAGTCACACTGACGTAAATGGTTAAATTCTACAGACTGCTCAAACTGGGACAAGTGGTGTTACTGAGTAGTGTAAACAATGACAACTAGTCACCCTCTAACTAGGTCCAGTTTCCTGGGTGTTACCTCGACATCCAATGGGTAGCTATCAGACAGTGCTCTAGACCATCGTGTGAAAGTGCAACACCAGTGAAGACCCTAGTGCCAAACCAAAAATAACACTATCATCAAAGGCTTCGAAACGGCCGTTGGAATGAACGAAAATAGATCCGGCCGACAACCATAATCAGAAATAAACCTAACAACTAGACAAAGCGTATCACCTGATAAAAATGTCACACACAGAGTGTAATTGGGTTCTCCATTATACTCTATGAAGGGTCAGAAGCACCTGATTTCCTCGTCCGTATGAAGACTAGAGACTAGCAACTAAGTGGGTTGATGGGGACAAAGATAACCAGTCTCAAAAAAGCAACCATAATCTCCCCTCCAGATGGTATATCCTCGTGGACATGATCGAGAAGGGATTCGTTGTAATCACTGGCGAACTGCGCATCGTGAAAAAACTCTTTGAGAGCAATTCACAGATGATAGACTTCAAAGAAATCTCAAAAATCCCTGAAACGCAAACAAGTATTGGAGTGAATCAAACCTTGGCCCACTCCCGTGGCTTAATGGAACATAATAATTCGATAAGTGCAGTCGTATAAGTGATCATTGAAAACCTCGGCATACAGGAAGAAAAATGAATGGCGGCAGGAGGCGAAGAATCCATTTGAATCAGAGAAATAACTTATGGAAACGTGGGGTAAACATCAGGTGGAAGTGGGATGGGAATATCGAAACTGTGGCTGGGCACGATGGATTAATCTATAACCGGCTCAAATACGAATGGAAAGATGAGCAAAAGAAACGAGCGACGGGATACCGGTGGGTTCAAAACAGAATCAAACCTGACCGAGGCAAGTTTAAGCAAGATAAAACAGATGACATAAGTGATAATGTAACGCTTCCCTAGTACGTGTGTATATATGTGTCTATGTGATTGCCTCTACTGAGACCGAGTGGACACAGGAAACAGCGGACGAAATGATACAGGATAGAAGACAGGAGAGACCAAAGGAGACGCGTTCAGAAAAGGAGGAAGGGGGTGGCGAACAACAGTCCAGTGAGTATCAGAGAGAGAGAGAGATTATGTAAAGGAAGGAATAAAAGACACCTGAACACCTGGCGAAGTAGTTACTAGACACGTGTTAAAAAACAGACTGTCCAAGGCATATCGTGCTATACATGCGATGTGCATACAAAGCTCGCTAGTGAGCTCAGAAGAGATTAGAGGCCAAAAAGCAGACACTGCGAAGCAGATAAACAATATGCGTGTAGAGGTGAAGAGCAACAACATAGAGGGATAGCTTAATAGATGATAATCAATAGATGTGAAGTGTACGTATAGGTTTGTGTGTATGTTGATGCACTTCTGCGAAATTTATATTCGATCCCACACAAAAATGGGAGCAACATCAAAAAGTAGTCTGAAGCGGATAGGTGGAAGGAGAGAGTGGGGGTGATGCACAGCTGAGATCAAATCGACTAGATCACGGGGAAACGCATGACTGAAGAAACCAAAGGGTGCGAGATCAATGTGTGTGTGTGTGTATGTGTCTATATCTCTGCGTCATTGCGTGTGTATGAAAAGTGAAAGATGAAAACTGAGAGCATGAGGGAGAGAAGTGTTGACTAGCTCGCCAGAGATGTCCACTTCTCTCCGAGACCCTAAGGGCTTTGTGTTATCACAGCTATCATGTTATATGTCGAAAAGCGACAAACAAGGTTTGCGGGGAGAGGGAAAGAGAGGAGATAGGAGAAAGAAACCAATACAAGACAAACAGTATGAATAATAAAGTCACATACCAGTAGAGAATCCATTGAGCGAGAGCGGAACACAGCCAGGTGTAACCGGAGCACAATGAGTGTGGTTCACCAGAACGATGGTGACAGGCACATGGACGGTAGAAACCGAACGGGCAGCATAAAGCAGAAACACGAATCAGTAAAAGAGAAAGAAAACGCGAGAAATGCTGCATCAGATTGGTAGGCTTAGTTACTTTGACTGTAAACTAGATACCAGGAAAAACTTTTTGGATAGGAAAACAAATCACGACAATTGACGTCCCAGACCCCATTCAAATGAAAACAATTATGCCAGAACATTGATTTTTGATGCAGAACACATAATCGAAAGAAAATACGTCATCGGTAGGAGAAACAACAGAAAACGGGTGTGGAAATGATCTAAGCGAAACTGTAACAATGGAGAGATCAGCTTGTCCAATCACAGCATCGAACATGCTACGGCACATAGATCGATATACCAAAGAATCTGGGACAGCTAATCACTGCGTTCGTATCACAGTTAGAAAAAACATTTTAAAAAAGTAATAAATGGCCACAAGTCGGACTGGTGGCCTTTACGGGGAGGTTCTAAAGGAAAGCTGAGAATTGTAGAATCACAAAACACTACTTGATTATCAACGAACAACACAGCTGCGGGAAAGTATGTTCAAAAAGTAATGTCCTGCTGAACTGTACGCTGTGAAAGGTCAAATAATACACAAAAGTTCACACATTCAGTCTCTTAGTTTGTTGAATACAAGGGCAGGGTCGGAATCGTTCCATATTTATCGGTTTACTGGTGCCCCTGTTTGACAAAACTGAATGTGCAGCTTTTAATGTACCACAAAAAACCAGCCCATCAAACGAAAAGAAAATTCGACTGATGAATTTGAAGCCACAGTGTGTTCAGACAGAAACAAAAGAAATGCAGTAGCAAATCGAGACCTTGAGCCACATCCGATACTTGTTCATGTCACATTTAGAATGATGCGAGACAAGGGATAATGTTCTGCACCAAGAAAGATATAAATTAGTTATTCAATTTTACTAAGCATTTGCGTGACACTCGGTGATGGATACTAATCATGGGGATGACGAATCGAACACAGACCACCACCAAACACGCCAAAGCAAAGTAGTCACATTCAAGGGGAAACAGAGGATACATAATATATATATATATACATATATATATGATCTGTACAGACACGATTATGAATCATTTGAAAACAATTGTTCGCCTTCGGACCTGTGTTCTGATGTTACAATGGGATTATTCTGGAATTTGAAGTTAGGTTCATCAACAACTGCAAGAACCTCGATTGAGGACAATAATGTGAGCAATGTGATCACAACGATCGTCCGATGAATGTGCTGAGGATGTATCAGTAACGAGGGGCGAAGCAATCGATCTTAGTAGTGCGTTTTTTCTTTTGACGAACACACGTGGTCAGACAAAACGATAAAATAGCTATGGTTTTTAAGCCATCAAAGCGCGAAAATGTTCCACAGTACCCTTTGATTCAATTAGGACTGAGTAGATAAATTACAGAAAGCATTCTCCTGATTCCGGTTATCACACAACAAAAGATCACGTAGACTACTCACGCCGCACAGACAATCCAATTTTCACTAGGTAGCTGAGTAACTCACATCATGTATCATTTCATTAGTGAACCAAGACACAAAATAAATCATGGAAGGAGGTTCGACATGCGACGATAAAACATCAGGGGAACCAAATACACCAACCAGTCTGGGAAAACATCTGCGGAAAGTGGACGTTAAAACTCCCATTAGCAAGCCACTCCTTGATTGCATGAACAATTATGCTAAAAGAATAAGGGGTTTTTGCAATAACCGTGGTACCCGTCACTCAAATCCAATGCGATTAAAGCATTTACCAATATATCGCCTACATAAGCGAATATATACTAAAAGACAGAAAAAGAGTCACATTCACCATCCCAATGGTGAACTGAATCGCGGAATCAAGTACGAGTTTTGTGGTATCACAAAAGAGTATAGATCACAGTTGAGCATTAGGCTGATTACAAGCGAATCACCGACGAAAGTAATTGCATGAGTCAATTGCACACGAGCACAGAG